AGGGATCTTATCTATGCACAATCAGCTTGTAACACTCCAAAGAGAAAGGAAAACTTGAAATCGCATCATATGACAGGGCTCTAGAGTGCGACCAATTTGGTCGCACGTGTGACCTAATTTCTCAATGGTGCGACTAAAAATAATCTGAGGTCGCACCGGTGCGACCAGCCGTTCGAGGGGAAAAAAAAGTCTCCGCGACTATGAAAGTCTCCCTGTGGTTCAACAACAGACACACATTAGGCCCATATCGTGGTCTAAACCAATCAGAGATAGTGAAGGGCGGACCCCCCCTCTGATTGGCCGTGGTCCAGATATTCCTGTACGTGTGTGTACGTTTGAAAATGCGTGTGCTGCAGTCAGACAGAGAGAGGTGAGTAGCCTAGGCCCGTCAGATAAACAGAGTGGATGTAGCCGCGGATGATGAGAGAAGATGAAAAGAACGATTGACAACTTAAGTTAAGGCCTGATCCGTCCGAAAATCATAACCAATACTCTGACACGGAGCCATCAACCTCCCAGGTTATGTCAAGCCCTGGTCCGGAGATGGCATTAGATAATGAGCCACATACGATCGAGTCCGAGCCAGAGCCCACTGAAATTAAAAGGGGGAAAGTGTATACATTTCGAAGAGAGTGGCTTCACCAGTTTCCCTGGCTAAGATACAGTAAAGCCGATAATATAATGCACTGCATTTACTGTAAAGAGTGTGGGAAGACCATGGCCGGCAATAGTGCATTTGTGACTGGTTCTAATACATTTCGAATTGAAACGCTGAAAAAGCACAATGCACATTACATGCCGCGATAAATGCACTGCCCAAGTGTCCCCTCTCCCCGCTGCCTTTCAGCGGCAGGCAGCAGCAAACAGATCATCAGACGAGGCCGAGATAAGTTTAAAGTTTAACGTTGCCTACAATATTGCAAAAGACGAACTTCCCTTCACTAAGTTCAAGTCCGTCTTATGAAGTATGAAGAAAAATGGCTTGAACGTAAACCCGACGTACAGCAATGATGTCGCGTGCGCCCAATTTATAGGAGTCATCGCAGATACATTGAAAAAAAAGACGTCTGTGCAAATTGCAAACAGTGCATACATGACATTCCTGATCGACGGAGACACAGATATCGCCACAAAGGAATGCGTCATTGTGTACGGTCGTATCTTGCGGAGAGGAAGACCGGTGAATATACTGATTGGACACATTGAGGTCGAGCATGCCCATGCCCAAGGTAAGCCATGTCATGTCATGTAGCCTATCTTAATAATATGCCTACCGTCTCATTACTGCATTAACCATATGTAATATTCTTATCATTGAAAATTAAAAAAAATAAAATAAAATAGATTGCATTATAAACTTTTGATCTGGGAAGTAAATGGTATTATTGTTTTTATTTGTTTAATTAGGAATTTATGCTGCCTCAAAGAAAGCATTTGCTGCTCTTGGGGACCAGTGCAGTAACTGGCTGGAGAAAATCATTGCTCTGGGTGCTGATGGTGCTGCTGTTAATTTGGGCAGCAAAGGGGGTGTCATAGCCCTTCTGCAGCAAGAGGCAGGTGACCACATTGTGCCTTTCCACTGTATGCCTCACAGGTAAGACTAAAAGATAAGATATGACTGACACCCTAAAGTCGCTGTGGGTTATTTTCTTTTATAGAGCAGATGTATCCACATTTAAAATTTGACTATCTTTTCAGATTGGAATTGGCAATGTTGTCAGTGCAGAGGGACAATCCAATGATGGGGAAATTGTACGACCTTCTACATTTAATTTGGAAGACGTACCATTTTAGCCCAAAATCAATGAGAGAGCTCAGGGTCATTGGGGCTGACTTGGGGGTAAATGTGCTGATGCCCAGTGGGGTGAAGGGGACAAGGTGGCTCCCACATGTTTCAAGGGCCCTGGAGACCTTTCTTAAACCAGGACAGTTCACTGCTGTGTACTACCATATGGACCATTTGGCAGGCTCCTCTGCCAATGCAGACATTGCAGGCCGAGCTACAAAGGCCAGTGCATTCTTTCAGAATATTCCTTTCATTAGAGACACTTACGCCTTTGTTATTGATTTTATTTTTTGTTAGGAATTTAGTTCATCAGTGCTCTATGTGACTAATTTTTACTGTTGTATGATACAGGTTAAGAAATCAATGGAAGATGCCACTTTTGTGCTCTTTTGCCATTTTATTGCAGACGTGTTCAGTGGCATTAGTAAGTTTAGCCTCCTACTTCAGAGGAATGAGATCATCCTACCACAGGTAAGGGAGATGAAGTGGGATGTGTAAATTTGAATTGTGTTTGAGTGCTTCAAATAAAGAACTTTATGTTGACCAGATTGTTAGTTAATCATTTACAAGTCAATATTGCCTATATGGACAGCGATTAAAAAAAAAAGTGAACTTGTAAAACTGCGGTGTTAAATGCGATGCGGTCGAAGATTTGGGTGCACCTAACGTTTGTGCTGGTGCACCTAAGAAACAAAGTTAGGCGCACCAGTGCAACCAGTGCAAAAAGTTAGTCTAGAGCCCTGCCCTAGTGTGATCAAAAACACTGAATCTGAAACGTCTTTCATAATTTGCTTAATCTGCGATTCAGCATGTCTTTAAACCCAGAAACGGGATTTTCCAAGTTAAAGCAGACCTCAAACTCAGGCTTCTTTCCGAGGGCCAGCACAGCGACGGTTATGGCCAGAGCAGCGGTCAGACCCCAGATCTGATGGATGTTGCCTGTGCTGGGGTCAGTGTACATGAAACTATGGGTTGGGCCGAAGACGCTGGGCACAGGATAGCTGGAGTGATCCGCCTCTTTAGTGAAAAACTCCAGAGGAAGAGTGAACACCTCGCTCACCTCGTCTGTGTTTGGACTGGCTTTGAAGGAGTCCTCGATGAATGATCAGAAGACCAGCCTGAGGAAACCATTTGAGACGTTATAATTGGCCAAAGCAGACAATTCATTAGAGACACACACACAGACAAAAAAACAAAAACGCTTACTGTATTCTGGCACACTAAATTATTTAGTGGTTGTCTGCATTTTAATAAAATGATTATACTATTTTTTTTCATTGCAAATAATTTTATATTACAAATATTCAAATAAAATCTACATTATAATCAATATATATTAGAATAATTTATTAAAATGCAAGCAAATACTAGAAAAAAGAATGTATTTATTGAGCTAATACTAGTAATGCATGAGTAATATTAATGTATTTGTATGTATAATTTGTCAGGGAGAGTCCAGCCTCGTCAGGCCCAATTATCTCACACACCCGTTCACAATCACCGGAGTACTAATCAGCTGCACCTGTCACCACCTCATCAGCACGAGCTTAAATGCACAGTCACTGCAGTCACACTTCGTCTGGTCTTGAGTTCACTACGCTACTCCTTACCTAACTCACTGAACCCGGACTCCATCCTGATACCTTCCTGTCTCTGTGCCATCCTCTTCAGCCCGATCCACAAAGGAACCCGTCATCATGTGAGCCCGATCCCTTCCATTCCATAGACTGTTGCTCTAACCCGTTTGCTCTCCATATCTCTCTCTCTCTCCCAGCACCTGTTCAATAAAGCTCTCTGTTTACTTTACCTCTCCGTCCCTGGTCTCCTTCTGTACTGTGACAGAAGACCAGACCACAACTTACCCACCTTATGGAGCCACAACCACCGAACCCCCCATCACTGGAGGATTTAATCCACGCCATCCGTACGCCCGTTGTATCTGCCTCCCACAGTCCCATGGCACGGCCCGCTATCTTCTCCGGTGAGGCGGTGGATTGTGGTGGCTTCTTATTACAATGTTCCTTATACTTCGAGATGCAGTCACAAGCCTTTCTCAATGACCGCGCCAAGGTGGCCTTCATGATCTCTCATCTCGCCGGCCGCGCTCTTCACTGGGCCCAGTCCATGTGGGACAGTAACAGTCAGGCCCTTCGCACTCTATCTACGTTCACCGCCCACTTCAAGGAGGTGTTTAGTCACACCGCGGCTGAGATATCCGTGCATGACCAGCTCTTCCGTATCCGTCAAGGCAAGGCCTCCGTGAGCGAGTATGCCATTAAATTCCGCACTCTGGCGGTGGCGAGTGGATGGAACGAAGTGGCCTTACTGACTGCGTTCCGGCAAGGGCTAAACGCAGACATTCGCCTTCAAATGGTGATATTTGACGACACCGTGGGATTAGAGAGTTTCATTCAAAAGGCTATCAAGATCTCCCAACATCTCCTGGCCTGTACCCCGATCCAGCCACCGCCACACCGAGCACATCCGCCTCACCGGCTCCAGCACCAGAACTCATGCAAGTGGATTCGTACCATCTCACCCATGCGGAGCTTTTGCGGAGGATAACCACCGGACTGTGTCTGTATTGTGGGGAGCAGGGACACTTGATTCGCTCGTGTCCTATCCGTCCCTCACGACCCTCGGTGAGTACTATCCAGCTCAGCCCTCAAATTGCTACCTTGACTAGAATGAATCAGAATCAGAATCAGAAAGAGCTTTATTGCCAGGTATGTTTGCACATACAAGGAATTTGTTATAGTGTCACAAGCTTCCAGTACACGGAGACAACAACAACACACAGAT